CCAGCCTCAAACCGTAAATCAGCCATCACCAATAAGAACCCAAACTCTGGACCTGCGTTCTAGCGAAGTATCCCCGCTTCCTCTGAGGAAGTAATCAAGCAAGGGATCAACGAGCAACTGGACTCGCTGCCTTACGTGCCGCCCGGCTTAGCTCTAGCAAGCTAAATTACACACCTAGGGATGTTGCCTTCTATGCTTCCGGCTACTTTTGCAAGCCTTCTTACGGCTCTGTTCAGACAACGACCATATGGGGAGTTTGATGTAGGTAGAGCTTGTTTAAACCTAAAGGGAACCTACAGGATCACTTGTAGAACAGTATTGAACCCCTGGGTGCTGTATTGACCCTAAACCGCCCAGAAGCTCTGGTAGAACCGAAGCCCTGCCTCAACTAGACCCTAAACTCTCAACCCCTTTGCCCTAAACCCCTGATCCCTAAACCCCTAAACCCTAAAAGCCCGAAACCTTAACCGTTTCGAGGCCTATGAGGCTTGGTACTGGAAGGGGCTCTTGGATGCCCCGACCCTATACCCCTAAACCCGGAACCCTAAACCCCCGAAGCTCTAAACGCCTAGCCCTAAAACCGAAGCCCACCCTCCCCGAATCCGTCAGGTACCCATGGAACCCGTCGTAGAACCGATGCCCTAAACCCTAAAACCTTCAAGCCGACACCCTTAAAAACAAAAAGCAACACCCTCAGAAATCCGTCAGGTATGGCGGCCTCGGGTTGGCTCCAGTAAGGGCGAAGCTTGCGAAGCCCGGGAGTGGCAATCGGTCTAGGGATTTAGGGGTTGAGGCTTTGGGGATTTCGGGTTCAGGGTTTGGGGATTTCGGGTTCAGGGTTTAGGGGTTGAGGGTTTTGGGGTTGAGGGGGAGGGTTTGGGATGTTTTGTGGGTTTAGGGTATAGGGATTGGGTTAGGGGTTTGGGTGCAGGGGTTGAGGGTTTAGGCATTGAGGGTTTAGGGGTTTAGGGTTGGGGGTTTAGGGGTTTAGGGGTTGAGGGTTTTGAGTCTGGATTCTGAAGGGATACAACGAGGGACCCCACGTGGGTGAGTACAAGGCACACTTTAGCTGTTGCTGTAGACGTCGGAATGATAACAATAGCATTCTTTGGGTTCCTTACTGTTATTGTAGTCAGAGCATAATATACTCCGAAACCCTATCCTACTTATCAAGTCCTCTACTCTATACTATCTGCTGTAGATAAAACAAGGAAGAAGTATGTCGGGCATCTCGTGAAGATAAGGTTTCATAAGAGATTTATGCGTGCATTCCAGGGTGTTATAAGGACTTCATTGATTTTCAAGTACGGTGAAAGGGGCGAGTGCGAAACGGTTTGTATGAGGTCATCGAGGCCATTTGATTCGAGTTCAGGGCTGCAGCCCCCCATATACCGAGGAGGTCGAAAAGGTAACTCAGGAAATTGCCGGAAGGGTGTGCAAGTAATGTCCGCCTAGAGCGTTTCAGGACGTTCAGCATGTTTTGGAGTGGGGCCCTAGTTGTTGAGTTTGAAAGGCCTCCGTATCCTGCGCTGCTAGTCTTCTTTGGCGCTTGTCTCAGCTTCAAATGTAGTCCTGGTTTGAGTCCTGAGCTCTCCAATCTGCGCATGTTGCAATGTACTCCTTCCAGTACCTGGACCCCAAAAGTATGTAGAATAAAAGCCTTTTGAAGGTATTGGGCCATTATTTTAGCTACTTTGGGGGGTTCAGGTATTGGTTTGAATGCTCATACGTCATACTGGTACTGTTTGCCAGCATCTCCAACCTGCAATCCTAGTCGCTCAAATCCAACTCGTGAGGAGCAGCACTGGCGAGGTGAAAAGAACAAAACGAATGAGTTTCACATAGGGCACTTGGAGGTTCAGGGGGTAGTTATAAGTAGGGTTATAAGTCCCTTAATATGGGGTTATAAGTATAGTTACCCTACTTATCACCCTCCTGATAACTACCCATGAACCTCCAAGCCTCCAAGTACTCCCGCATGTCAGTGGCATGCGGGTCCAAGCAGCACAAATTAGCACTAACAGCTGCTTAAGCACCGGTCGGGATGTCGCACAATGTTTGTGCCACTCCTGCAGGGATTGCCGGATAAGCGTTCTACTAAGTCTTCAGGATCTTTGATTGCATGTCGACCCTGAGCGCGAGTCCCTCAACTCTAATCCCAAAGCCTACTACCCTAAACCCTGGCCAGCTTCTGGATGCTCAAATAAGAAAACGGCCCCTAAACAAAACAAGATAAAGAACAAAAAAAGCTTAGCGAATTAATGCCAGCAGCTGCCTAAAGAATCGACTGCCGCCCTTCGCTGCCTCTTGCCAGGCTTTTGGCTGAGATCTGCCCCGGAGACCTGACAGGACCCAGGGTCTAATTAGAATTTGGGTATATTATACTATAATACTATATCTATAGTAAGGAACCCCCGCCCCAAACTAGGATTTTGGGTTTATACTATGATTATGGTAAGGAGCCACCAAAGTAATATTATTGGGGGTTCCTTATGATTAAGGCCCCTATATTAGTTGTTCTTACGGTTTCTGTAGTATACTTTACTACCTTGTTACAATTGTATGATCAAAACAGGACCAGTATTGTCGGATGTTTGCGGAATGGTATTGCAGAGTAGTTTCACATTATTATGGTAGTGTTTATTTGGGGACTATCATAAGGGCTTTTTATGGCGTGCGTCAACATTTAATGCTTGAGCCTGAAAGCATAGCCACGGAGGCCTAAATCCTGCAAAGTATATACCCCCGTATAACCTGCACCTAGAGAACGTTACGGTTTAGGGTTCAGGGGTTGGGGGTTTAGGGTTTAGAGGGTTTGGCATGCTGCCCGCTCCCGAGTCAAAAGCAAACAGTCTCGGCAGCTCTTTCGAAAGCTTCTCTAAACGAGAACCTCGTAGCGGATGGGGATTCGGGGGGTCCTCTTGTTGTAATTAGGGCAGATGAAGCTGCCGGGGCGCATTGAGGGGTCAGATATTATGAGGGTTATTACAGGGGAGACCATACGGGCTAGTAATTTAAGCAGGGCTGCTCAAGAAGCCTGCCTGATTGCGAATCTTACTCCTCTGGGTGACACTGCAGCATAATGTGCCCCAAACCCGCATTACGCACCCCGAACCCCTATCTTGATTCTGCAGGCCGTTATCCTGCCTTGACCGGACTCAAGCCCCTAACGCTTTGGACAATTCAGTTGCATGGTCTGTGATGAGGATCTACCCTCAACCCCAAACCCCGGGTTGAGGGTTTAGGTTTTAGAGCCCTAAGCCATCAACCCAGAAACAACCCCAGACCCCTCCACACTGCGCGGAAATCCTCCGTAGGCTTCCTCTTCCCCAGTGGCGGAGGCGAGGCAAACGAGGCGTCTCGGCTGGGGAGCTTTCGAAGGCTCTAGGCTTTTGGCCGGCTAGAAGTCCCGAACCCTAACCCTTCTCAAACCGTAAACCCTAATCCCCGCATAGTTTAGCAGTGAGGCTGAAATTTTGCTGTAAAGTCTGGGTTTTTTGCTTGGAGGTTGGGTTTCAAGTTTGGGTTTACTAACCCCTGGGGATCAAAATAGCCCAAAGGCCTCATATAGTATGGCCTTTGAGCCGAAAAGCCTTAGTATATGAGATCAGAGCCCTAGGGTAAGTTACTACCCACACGTCGCCTAGGAACCTCTGGAAGCACGACCCTTGTCAGACCTTTTTCTGCTCTGAGCCCTGGCGATGCGATTGTTTTGGTAGTCTGATGTGGGGTTTAGGGGATCCTGGTTGCAGGCATGGTTCTAGTCGTCTGCCATCCCGAAGCAAGATCTCGGTGCCCTTATACTGCCGTTCGTCGTACCTTCATTGATTGTCTACGTCTCGCCGCGATCCAACCTACAACTCCGTAGCTCCCCAAGCCCAAAACTCGTAAACCGTCGATCCGTAACAAGTAGGTACATGGATATAAACAATATCAGTATGGGTGGTTGTCAAAATTAGGGCCCTTTCTGGATCCTCAATGCAATACGGCACCTGCTATTTGGGGTACCCAAAAAGGGACCCTAATTTTGACAACCACCCATATATATATATATATATATATATATATATAGATAGATAGATACTATACATGTTATATCATCTAGTAGATATATACTGTAAGCATATAGTATATAGTTATAATATATGACATGACATGGCACTACTGTCCAGGCTGCTATCCGCCTCGCACGCCTGTACACGGGCAAGCACAAGATCCTCACACAGTACAGGCACGACGTTTTCGTGTGAAGGGTTTTTGGGCAAGGCGTGTTATGGAAGTTATAATTACAAGTAATTTCCAAGGGTATTTCTTGATGCTCTACTATAGTGATGCACATTTATTTTCTGTAGTATACTCCCCAAACCCTATTCAGATTATTCAGGCCCCTCATATTATCCACATCCGTTTTGGAATCTCTGAGCCAACCGCCATGATCGCTTCCCGAAGTTGCGGTATCTCGCTTCCGTCCAGTTTGCATCGGAGGGAATCCTAGACCCTAACTTCTTAAATTGGTATAGTTTTCTAAACTGGGGTCCCTTCGGGGTCCGTTTTTTAATTAAGGGTGCCATACTATCTTGGGGACCAAACTGCTTAAATCTTAGAAAGCTCGAACCCGACAGCAGAGAGGCAAAAATGCACCAAACCCTTAAGCCCTAACCCCTAAACCCTAACCCATAAGCCCTAAAACCATAAAACCCTAAACCCTAAAACCCCAAAGCCCCAAAGCCCTAAACCCTAAAACCCCAAAGCCCCAAAGCCCTAAACCCTAAACCCTAAACCCTAAAACCCCAAAGCCCCAAAGCCCTAAAACCATAAAGCCCTAAACCCTAAAACCCCAAAGCCCTAAAGTCTAAACCCTAAACCCCTAAACCCTAAACCCCTAAACCCTAAACCCTAAACCCTAAAACCCCAAAGCCCTAAAGTCTAAACCCTAAACCCCTAAACCCTAAACCCCTAAACCCTAAACCTCTCTACCTTAAACCAAAAAGCCGGAGCTCATGAGGTCCTACCATGGCGCCTCGGCCTCCTCCCTGGGCGCCACGGGCGACTTCCGCCGGAAGTTCGCGGAGAGCGGGCAGAACGGCGCCATGGTGGTTTAGGGTTTAGGGATAAGGGTTTAGGGTTTAGGGGTTTAGGGGTTTAGGGGTTTAGAGGTTTAGGGTTTAGGCATGTTTTAGGCTTGAAGTGCGCATTCAGAGTGGCTTTACGAGATGGAAATGTGTAGTGGTGGTGGTGGTGGTGGTGGTGGTGGTGGAGTTGTTCGGCGTCGTAGTCGTCATCGGCATTGTAACCAGTACTCATAAAACTCGTAATAGCATAGTGGCAGCAGCTGCAGTCGTTTCGTGAGCATTTTGGTGAGCCCTGAAGCCTGAGTCCTGACTCAGGCTTCGTGAAGTTCTTCAACCCACAGCCGAACGGCTTCAGTTGGGGCACCACAGACTACTCGGCAACACAGCGAACTCTGGCCTGCCTCGAGGAAGAGTTACTACTGCCACTGAGTGACTGTAAGCCTGCTTGCTTCGCCCCGGCTGGTGTAGGCTGCCGAGTTTGATGCAGCGAGTGCGCCCCCGAAAACCCTAAACCCTAAGCCTTGCAGGACCAAATCTTGGCTGAAGGGCCTGAGACCATTGCTGCCGTCCTGGTTGAGCCTTTGCATCCACCAGAAGACTGTTGACAGACAGGTGTGCACAAGTTTTGCTGCTTTGACACTTTAGGGTTCTCAAGATTTACCAGTACTATTTTGGGGTTCCTTGTTTTTATTATTACTATAGTATATTGGGCCCCAAAACCCTATTGTAATTTTGAAGGCTCCTATAGTAGTCGATGTCTTGCTGGCTTGTGATGTGGACAGCAGCCATCCCGAAGCTTAGCTCCATGCCCACCCTTTGCCTGCCATGACTCTTTCAGAGTCGGCTGAGGAAAGCATCGTGGGTGCTGGTGGTGTCCTGGTCCCACCCGAGGGATACATGGAGGGTCTCCGAGCTCTTTGTGACAAGTGCCCTCTGCTCGACCTTTGTCTCGCACTGCAAGTTCGCTCCGTGACATCAGATACGTCGCCAGGTGTACATCAGAGTGCCCGTCAGTTCATTCCGACGTTTTGGCCATAGGAATCAGCATGCAAGTGCAGACGTTTCATGTAAGGTCCTGCGAGAAGCAGCGGTTTGAAACGAGCCTTCGGGGAGTTCACAGGGCAGCCACGATCCATCCATATGACTCTCGATAGATAGGTGCATCGTTAGATAGGTAGGTAGATAGATAGACTGGAAGGTAGGTAGGTAGATAGATAGCTTTGCAGGTGGGTAGGTAGGTAGATAGGTAGGTAGGTAAATAGATAGGTAGATCGGTATATAGGTAAATAGGTAGATATAGATGGATAGATACATATAGATAGACACACAGATAGTAACATAGATAGGTAGATCGATAGGTAGGTAGATACGCAGACAGGTAGATCGGCAGATAGGTAGATAGAGCATGTTCACATGCGTACGTACATACATACCCTGCCAGGTACGAGATCCTGCTCATTTGCGACGAGGCCAGGCCCCGCAATGGATTTTCGATTTCGAACAAAAATCCCAAAAAGCCCTAAACTGTAACCCCTAAACCCCTAATTCCAGAAGCCCTAACCGTCAAACCCTAAACCCCCAACCCTTTGCCCCAAACTCTAACCGGTTGTCAGGTCATGGTGGGTTTTGGCCGCACCGGCCACTTCTTCGGCTTCCAACACTTCGAAGGCCGGCAAAGGGAAGTTCCAAACCAAGCTCTAAATTAAGAAAGGGTCGGAGCACTCATATAACTACAGTCCCGAGTATATTATTAACATCCAACTTAAAATGCTCCATCATGTACCCAAACCAAACTAAACCAAACTAAAAACCCCCGTTGTCTCTCCCCTGAATTGCAGGTGTTGTGCCGGACATCGTGACTTCCGCCAAGGGCCTCACCGCCTCGTTCATGCCGCTTTCCATGGTCGGAGCCACTCCCCAAGCGTTTAACATGGGGGGTTCCTTGTGAATTACTTATAGGGCTCCTTTCAAGGGCTCCTTTTAAAGGTGTCTATAAGGATTACTATCAGGGGTATTATGGGTTTAGTATAGGGGCCTTAATAATTACGTATGCTCTTTGGGCAAAACCCTATAATAATTATTAAGGCCCTGTGAATGGCTAAAGGGTTTCGGGTTTATGGGGTTCTAGGGTCCAGGGTTTAGGGTTTTGGATTTTGGGTGTTTAGGCGTCTAGGTGTCTAGGGTTTAGGGGTGGCTCCTTAGAATTCTCATTTTCTGATTCTCGAAATGTGGAACCCAATGGGGTTGTGAAGGGATTTAAGGAGCTTAAAGATTTGGGGTGCAGAGGGTGTAGGAGTTTGGGATTGGTGGGTTTGCGTCTTAGGTTTAGAAGTTTAGGCCTCAGGAGTGCATGGTTGAAGATTTCCAGGTCTACTGCAGATTTAGTTCGTTTGGGTGTTGCCGAGTGGAACTGGTCTTCGCGGAGCCCTAAATTGGCGACTTACAGGAGAAGTCCCATATGTATGTGTAAGTATGTATATGTATATACCTATATATATATATATATATATATATATATACATACACACACATACATATATACATCAGAGTCATATATATATATATATATATAGATGAGATTGTGTGTGTGTGTATGTATGTATGTGTATATATATATATACATATACATATATTTGTATATGGAACCCCGCCCGAATTCAAACTCGATCCGAGGTCCGACAGAAGATCAAGGATTACTTCATGACGCACCCCATTGGCTGGGGCTCCACGTTCCATGCCCACCCAGCTGCTTGGCCAGCATGCTCATATCTCTGACGGATCCTGGAAGCCTCAGAACTTTTTGGGACGCTTATGAAGATTTCGCCGTGTGACCTTACTTCATGTAACTTTCAAGCACAGCACCTGGATGGAGCTGCAGCCTCTAAGGGAGTCAGATTGAAGCAGCATCGAACCCCCTAGATCGAAAGTTGCACCATCTGCGCCGCCTGTATTTAGAAGTATAAACTGTAACCCGCCACCCCTCACACCCTCAACGGCGGCTCAGGTGGCTCTGGCTTGCGCCTACGAGACTGTGAAGTACGTGCTGAAGGCTCGTCCCTGGCATGCTTGCCCGGATGACATCTAGTGCAACAGCTCAATCAGGTCACAGGAAGACTAAGCCAAGAAGTTTGTTCCGGGCTTCCCTTTTGAAATGTTGGATGGGAACTTCAGGTATCTGTTCCCGAGCATTTCATTGTGCATAAGATTTCCTTCTGGTTTTCTGCGCTTCTCTGGAATGTTCTGCCATGTTCCCCCCATATGGGTGATCCAGGTGCAGCCCAGGATCTGATTTCGGCTATCCATTCTGCCATTCTTCTTTAAGTCGTGCATTACTTGTGAACAAGATGTTAAAGTCTGTGGGATTGTATCGATGGCGTGGTTTGGAGCGTGAGGGTTTGCAGTCACGCTTACCAGCAGGGTGTATGGTGCCATGCTGCTCAGAACTATGCCATAGGTAACACTGACACTGAGAATAATGACACTAATGACCATGATAGTAGCAAAACCATAATCATCATCACCATCATCATCTTCATAGTACTGAGAACAGTGAATAAAAACAATAATACGCATACACTACAACTATAGTAACCATTATATATCAACTAAATGATTACAAAAGCTACCATCACTATGGTGAGTATGGTAATGTATAGTAACTACAATAGTTGTACAAAATGTATTGGCTGTTGCGCAGCTACGCACCCAGTTGCAGGAGAACGTGCTTGAGAATGTGAGGAACCTGGAGCCTGTCATGCTGGAGGACAGCAGAGTTTCAGGCATTACACTCTTTTTTTTGGGGGTGGGGGGGGTAGGTTACAGGGCTAAGGGATTAGGATTGAGGGGTGTCGGGGAGTACGCTAGGGGTCAGGGTTCAGGGATTAGCGATTAGCTAGAGTTTGGGGCTTCGGGTTGTCTGTTGAAAGGGTTTAGTGTTTCTTAGAGTTGAGTTAGGGTTCAGGGATTCAGTGCTTCGCCGCGGCCCCAGGCTCGTGCATCAGATCGTAGTAGATCTCCAATCGCAGACCAGAACACTGCCTCACATCCTTCCTGCCCCGACTGGAAGAGGAGCTTCAGAGACTGACGCTGAAGCATGCCTCCGTGCGACAGGCATCGAAAGGGTGTGTGGGGAGGCGTGTCGGTTTCAGGGGTGTGCTGCGATGTTTGGCGACGGACTTGCAAGATTCTTCATTACGGTTCTATTTCTATATTCTTTATGACAGTGTACTGAATAATGTGATCCGCGGGCAGCCGTGGCAGCAGGAAGAGCAGATTCCGTGCGTGGATTGCTCTAAACCACGGTCCCCATGAACATTGTTAAGTACTGGCACTCCAAGATGAGTCTGGGGAACCCACTAATGGAAAGCTTTCCAACCTGATTTATTTGTGGGAAGCAGGTGTCCCGAAACCACAGAAAAGCTTTAGGGGACCCATTGCATGGCGCGAGGGTTTAGGGTGTGGGGTTTGGGGTTAAGGGTTTAGGGTTTTTGGATGAGGCCCGGCTATCTGAAGGCTAAGGGTGCTTTGCTAAACCGCTTATGCGGGGAGACCAGGCCATCATTTCGCCAAGGCCTCCTACACTAATACAATAATACAAACAACATAATAGCAATAACAACTACCACTACCACTGCCACTGTGTGGGGGTGTTTCAACGTCCATTGAGAGGGACTCGTGTAATGGTATGAGACGAAAGGCACGAGCAGCTGCATACAACTGTCGGGCTTTATCGTATCTGCCGTGTGAGGCCCGGGCGGTGGGCCTTTTTGGTGCCTCGACGGCAACTTCATCTTAGATTTTTGCCCGCTTGTCTTCATGTTTTGTATTAGTATGAATACTAGTACTACCTAGTAGTAACTAGTATACTTATATCGCTCCCATCTCTGTCAGTTTCAGCCCCAAACCCCAAACCCGAACTGAAGATCCTTGTAATATCGGGGCCTATTTAATTACCCCATTCAATTTTGTGGCTCCTTATTGTAATGATGGTCTAATTCGCCCCAAAACCTTACATATTCTTTAAATGAGGGCCCCCAAAGCACTCTCCCCAAGCCCCCAGCCTTTGAAGCCCAAGATGTTGAGACCACCCAGAAGGAAGGGGGAATCCGCAAGGCCGTGGGAGAAAACCAAACAAACCCTAATGCCTTGAATCTCCGAAGCCCACCAATCAAAGGGGAAAAGGAGGGACCCCTAATGGGGACCCCTACCCTATAAGGGGCTATATAATGGGTATATAGTAGCTATACTAAGGGTGTATATACCTATGGGTCCTTATTAAGGGTCCTTTCTTTTACCCTTGGAACCAAGAGTGTAGGTCTGAAGGCAGAGCCCTGGAAACTCATGTAATGAAGTGGGTTTAAATTTCCTGGAACCCAGATCGCAGCGTTGTGAAAAACCTTCCGCGCGGATGGTTGGAGTATGTCGTAAGTTTGTGTGGATAGGATCTTAACATCAACAGCAACGCACCCACATCGACATGGGCACCAACTTCAACATCGACATCACCACGGTCGCCACCAAGAGTAACAGTGCTTTGTAGTATAGCCTCGTACAGGTTCTTGTAATTCAGTGCTCCGAGCAGTAGGTTTTACGAGAGCTTTGCAGTCCGAAACTCCCTCGCGGTCGCTCGCGAGCGTTCTAGGGTTTAGGGTTATAGGGTTTAGGGGTTTAGGGTTTAGGGGTTTAGGGTTTAGGGGTTTAGGGGTTTAGGGTTATAGGGTTTAGGGATTTAGGGTTTAGGGTGTAGGGTTTCGACTCGCAGCCGAGGTTGCTTGGACCTGCAAACCCCCATCGGACAGGTGCCGCAGGGTTGCTGCATGTCAGGTGTTCCCAGAGAGCCCAATACCCCTTACTCAAGGAATAACAAGGGTTCCTCTTAGGGGATCCAAAAGGAATCTACAGGGTTTAGGGTTGGGGCTCCAGTACCACTGAATTAAGGAATATAGCTTAAATCATAATATGAAGCCCTATATAATTTAAGCCGTATTCCTTAATTAAGGGGTATTGGGCTCTCTGGGTTGTTCCCGGGTTAGTGCGGTAGCTGGGTCTGTCGATGGCGATACATCTAAAATCACTGCTGGAAGCTTGCATTTGGGCGTGCCTATTCGAGTGCAACATGCCCGAACCCAATTTTGCAGCTGCAGTCCTTGTCAAGGGTTTTAATTATCGAATTACCAAAATAAGGACACCATAATATTTTACCATAGATGCCTATGATGGCACCTGAAAAAGTTCCTTAAGAAGAACCCAGATTTGAGGCCGTCCAGCGCTTGGGTGAGCCATCTCCGCCGGCAGTGCAAAGCCTACGAAAGGCCGGAGGGGTCTCGGGGCGTGTAGGTTCAGGGTTTAGGGGCTTCGGAAAATTTCCAGAGATCCCAATACCCCTGAATCAAGGAATATACCTGAAAACCATACTGTTAAGGCCCCTGTAATTTAAGGTATGCTCCTTAATTAAGGGGTATTGGGATCTCTGAGTCAGGGTTTAGGGGCTTGGGGTTTAGAATGGCGGATTAGGGATTAGAGCTCCGGGTTCCTTGCTGTAGGGATGGGGCTCCGAAGTGCGGGGTAATTAGCGGCTTTAGCTCCGGCCGTGAACTCTATAATCGCTAAATTGAACACTAGGTGTTGAAGGCATGCGCTGCCAACAGGCACGGCCTTCAAAAATACAAACAAAAGCCTGAAAGTTTGGCTTCTTCTCGGGGGTTCTCCAAACCCAATCTGTAACCCCTCGTCCTAAGTAGCCAACCCCTATAACTCGAGCAGCCTCTTAGAAAGCATCCTTTCGCTTTGGTTGTGGGCTTAGTTCGGGCTTATAGGGGCACTTAGATTTTTTTCATTTTTTGTTATTATAATCTCTAAGAAACAGCTAAAATTGTAATTTTTGCTGGGGTTCATAAGGGTTGGAGATTCGGGATTTGCTTGGGGGCTGACGCGAGAATTTGCCTTAGAGGCTGTGCTGCTGGGAGGGACATCTCTGTTGAAAGTATCCAGGCTCTGGGGTTTAGGGTGTAGGCCCTGTAGGCGAAGGGGTCTAGATCTGTTTGCTTTAATTTGACTTCTCCTTCTGTAATTTGGGGTGTTAGGGTTGGGTTCAAGGCAACCGTTGGGAGTTGGGACTGTTCTGGGGGACTTCGTGCAGGCGATGTTTGACAATGGCCTCTTCTCTCTCTTCCGGCCGCCGCTGTTGCACTGCTCGCCCCCGCTGATCATCAATGAGGACCGTCGCTTTGCCAGCTGCTTTCACTTGAGAGTCTTGATCTTTAATGGCAATGGTGAGCTTGTTGCGGTGTGCTTAACCCAGTGCTTTGCAGATGCTGCTCATGTCATGTAGTTCTTCGTGCAGTATGACTACTACAACTCACCCCGTTCGATACTGTGGTTTCTTGGCGCGGAACAACTTTCCAAGTCACTTGGCTTTTTCGAAAACATGGTTAACATAGAGAACTACCCATATACAGCGGGACAGGGACCAGAAGAATGTCCGTGAATGTAGGAATATAGGGGTCGAAGATGTCCGGCAAGAAATCGAACCCAGCCGGCCCGTCGGTCCGACTCCCCGGCTCCCCTCTTTGGGGTGGGACAGACTGGTCTTACGTAGTACTCCCGGATAGCCCCTATAGTAGAAGCCATACAGTTGGACCTCATGCCGTTAAGGTAAAGCAGAGGGTATCCTGGCACTATCCATCCTAACTCCATGTTCCAACTTTCTGGGGTTCGCTGCACTCAATACGGCCCTCTCATAAACCTCAGTGCGGATTCGACCCCGAAGCCCCCAAGCCATTGCCTCCGCGTGAGGATTCAGGTTTTGGGAGAATTCGGATCAATAGGGCTAAGGGAGTAGGATTTGGCGGTTTGGCATCCCTCAAACCCCAAAACCCGAAACTGCAAAACCAGAGAACACCAAGAGTCGGGCACCCCCTGAACATTCCCACGGCTTTCAATCGGCGTGTAGCAAAACTTCAAACCATGATCGAAAACCCATAAAACCCATAAAACCCTATCTCATCCACCCCCCTCCCAAAACACCCTAGATGAAACCCTTCTAGAAGCCTTATAGAACCCTAAACCCCGAACTCTAAACCCTGAACACTCCAAACCTGGAATTTCGGACGTCAAGTGCAGACGGAAAAGGACCCATATATAAAAAAAACCCTGAACACTGGCTAAACCCCTACAAAGCCTCATACAACCCTTGAAAGGGCCCCCGACAAATCTCCCAGGAGCAGCTCAGGGATGGCTTTGGCAGGCTTTCCAAGGTGGAGCTGCACTCTCGGGGTCTCGGGGTTAGGGTGTTAGGGGTTTAGGGGTTTCGGGTTTAGGGGTTTAGGGTTTAGGGGTTTAGTGTTTAGGGTTTAGGGGTTTAGGGTTTAGGAGTTTAGGGGTTTAGGAGTTTAGGGTTTAGGAGTTTAGGGTTTAGGGTTGAGGGGTTTAGGGTTTAGGAGTTTAGGGTTTCGGGGTCCAGGGCTTCAGATGTTTTTTCTTAAAGGGTCGGACTGGCTGTTAATGATATTCCTTATCATCCCTAAGAGAGGTATAGAGAGAGAGCGGTTCAGGGGTCGAAAAAACCCAAAGGGTCCAAAGTAGCTATTTAGGATTTGCTGTTATGGTTTGGGTCTGTCTTCCTCACATGGGCACTAGGACGAGGGGTCGAAACACTTCGTAATAGCTGGAGGTTGCAGACTTTAGGATCAACTAGTGTTCGGAGTTGGACGGGTTGAATGTGGGTGGTTGTCAAAATTACGGTCCCTTTTTGGGTACCCTAAATTTTAGGTGCATAGTAAGGACCCAAAAAGGGACCCTAGTTTTGACAACTACCCGTGTGGCGCCGGTCCAGAGCTGTAGTGCTTGCTGTTTGCAGTTTCGTGTTGACGGGTGTAGGCTTCAGCGTGTGTTTAAGGGGCCTGCGATGCTCGGTGGCTTTTGTGTCAGGTTGGAGGGCTCAGGGATTTGGGCTGCGACTGCCTCCATGATAGAAGTTGGGCGATTGCGTGATGCCATAATTAAGGTTTTTCTTGCCGATGAACCGACACCCGCAACTGATCTCAAGCAGCGTCCGAGCAACTTATCAAACTCCTTTACCGAGATGTGGCGGCTCTTGGTTCTTGTTGCTGCGGCCGCAGCTGCAGACCAGTTTGAACACGGGTCTGTAAGTGGCCGGCATGGCATGGTCTCCACGTCGCATCCAGAGGCTAGTGCAGCTGCAGCACACATCTTGGAGAGAGGCGGCAATGCAGTAGATGCAGCCCTCGCAGTGCACTTTATGCTTGCAGTCGTGGAGCCGCAGCATGTCTCCATCAGTGGCGGAGGTGTTATGCTTTACAAGCCACTGGATGGAAAGGCTCTCCACGTGGACTTTCGTGAGGAAGCACCAGCACTGTACCATCCAAAGACCTTCTGCAAGAATGCGACTTGTGTTCTTGACCCCCACTGCGACTGTAATGGAACCTGGCCGAGCACAGAGCGCTGCACTGGCGGACATGCTACTGGCACGCCCGGCTTCCCAGCCCTTCTTTCGCTCGCAGTGCGTGACTGGGTTCTTGTTAAGTATTTCAATTCAAGTTACAATAATAATGTGGATTATATATATATATATATATACATATACACACATTATATGGTTTCTTTGTTATGATCATTTAAGTTCAGGTGAGCAACTCGCTTCCCTGCCACTCTCAGAGATCACGGGGCCAGCGATAGACTTGGCGCGCAATGGCTGGATCATGGACGAGGGCCTCTATAAGAGCATTCAGCAATATGCCCCGCAGCTAGCCCGAGACCCTGCTTCGCGAGCGCTCTTCTTAGATGACAGCGGCAGTAGACCCAAGGCAGAGGTTGGCGAACTCCTTCGAAATCCAGATCTTGCTGACACCTTGGAGTTGATCGTGGCTGCACCGGAAGACTTCTATACAGGGCACCTGGGTGCAGAATTTGTGCAAGCAGCAGCACAAGGCCTCAATAGTGTCACAGGAAAGCATGGCTTGCTATCTATGGCAGATTTGCATGGTTACAGGGCAGTGTATCGTGAACCGTTGCAGTACGAGTACACCACGGTCTCTGGCAACACATACAACATCACCGGTTCCGCCCCGCCCTTCAGCGGTGGAGTGGCGCAAGCTCAGATCTTCAACTACCTCGAGCATGTGGACGGGACAGATGCCACGGCCGCCCGCAGGCTTGGCTTTTTTATGGATGCGCAGAATGCAGCATTTGCTGACCGCAACCTGTATGTTGCTGATCCAGACTTTGTCGACGTCGACGTCAGGACCTTGACATCAAAAAGCTATGCAGCAAGCCGTGTGCAGGACTTGATCGGTGGCTCTCAGACCATCCGCGGGAATGAGATGAGGGCATTGGCTGTACCAGTGAGCCCTGGGATCCTAAATTCAAAGCATGGTGCATCGTCGTCGGAGGATCATGGCACATCCCACATGACGATCATTGATTCACAGGGAAACATTGTGGCGATGACCACGACCGTGAACATGATCATGGGCTCGAGGGTAACCGTGCCCGGGCGTGGCTACCTACTAAACAACGAGATGTGCGACTTCGATGCATTAGGCATCGATTCTGCCGGGAGGATGACCGTCAATGCTGCGGAGGGGGGCAAGCGCCCCAGGCGCACGGCTCTGGGCGACGATGGCAGTTCTTTAGGTGGAAAACGGCCGAGGTCTTCAATGAGCCCGACTCTGGTTGTGCCGAAAGAGCCAGGCAAAGCGGCTTTCTCATTGCTTGGCTTGGGGGCGCCCGGTGGCTCGGATATTATTGGTGGTGTAGCCAATGTCCTGAGATATACCCTCACCGCCCCGGGGGTGGATGTTCGGCAGCTGCAGAAGCACACCAACGCCCCGCGTGCAATCGGCAAGAATGAGCTGAAAATGGGAAATGCAGTCGTGGAACTCGCGCTCTACGAGGACAAAGAGACTCTGGCTGCCTTGCAGTCCTGGGGTTACAATCTCACTCACACGCCCTATGCTCCGCCCTACTACGTGGGGGAGACTTACTCCCGAGTGCAGTCTGCAATGATGTGGCGTGCTGATTCTCCTTCTCGTTGGATGTTTGTAGGGGCAGCAGACAAGCAGCGCTTGCCTACTTGTACAGTTCAGGCTCCGCAAAGCTCTGGTGACTCTGTTTTCCTGCCCTGAGAGTAGTTCGTACGCATGGCATCACCTGAAAGCATAAACTAGCTTTTGTGGTCGGAGCACTTTCACGAAGGTGCCTGCTGCTCTGACGCTGTTATGAAGTCACAGAAGATGCTCTTCTCAGTCGGATCTCTACAGGATCGGCTAGCAAAAATCTGCAGCTTTGCCGAAACATGTGGCTACTGCGGTTTAGGTCGTGCAGCTGCCTAGTCTCCGTGGCCTAGTGCAATATTTACAATTTACATTTATGTTTATGTTCATATATTTGATGATAATATATACACACACATATGTATATGTAGGTGTGTGTGTGTGTATACATATACATGTATATTAATTTATCTGTAAATGCAAACGCATATGTATATATGTATATACATGTACATATGTATATAGACATAGGGATTTCTGGATTTTGGGTTTTCAGTGATACATCAGAAACCTCGTGAGGCTCTGGACTCCTTCGACGAGATGCAGAAGCGTGAGTGTGGCCTGGCCTCCACAGAGATGTGACGGGGCCAGAAATACAGGCGGCATGAACCCCTGGGGAGCAAGTTTGAGGTTTATAGTTGAGGCTTTAGGATTTTGAGAGCGACTGGCACTGGCCCTGCGTTTGGGGCTTTTTCAGGAGTTCACGGGCAGGCAAAGTTGGGCCAGTGTGTCATTGTGTGCCAGGGGTTAGTAGCAAAGGCACACATGCGTTGACGTGTTTATCATGAAGATGGATGAAATACCCAGGCATGTGCCAGGGCAGGTCCACATTCATGGAAGTGGTACTTTTTGTTGTTGTCGCCCCGCCCGGTCTTTTGGACCCGATGCAATATACCAGGCATTTTATGTAGTTGCCCTGTCGCGTTTGCAAGCCCACCGCCGTGAGTTAGTGAGTGAGCGTCCCGGCCGGGTGCAGAAAAAAACACCGGCTTGGGGAGAGAGCAATACAGACACCTCGCCGGCGGAGGGGGCGAAATTAAACTAAAGCACGGCCTCAACGGGGACCCGCCGCAAGACCGCAAGTAATAAAGCTTCCCGTGGCCGAGCCCAAGCCCACGGCCGTAGACACCAGCCGATTCTGCAGAAGGGCCATCGCCTGTGACTTCAAAGAAAGCAGGCACCACCCCGGAAGGCGAGAGCAAGAAACGGAGGGTGCCGGGCCAAGGGGGCAGAACAGAAACACAAATTCTGGACGCCCAGGGACAGGAGCAAGAAGGGGCAACAGCAAAAGCAACACACACCCTGGCCCGCACTCACATGTTACATGTACATGTACACACTCCTTATGCATGCATACATGCATTGACACGACTTGGTGCTGTCGTTGCGACACTTCATTGAAGGCTGCAGGAGTCATGTTAGACCTTTGCACTTGAAACTCCCTGGGGGATTTGGCATGATTTGGCCGATCTTCCGTGAGATCGAATTCGGTGCATGCTGGCATGACGATCGATATCCGCTGCCAGCTTACGGCCCAGCTTCCCCAAACACTCTGCAGGAAGTAGCCAGGTAACTCTGCTCCCAGAGACAGAAGTTTTGGAACCTTATTGTGTTGGTTGAAGCAGGAGCCGTCCCGCCCGGAGTTCAAGCATCCGGGTGGAACCTCCAGGGGTGGGTGTCATCTTCGGCTGAGGGCATGATTCAGTAGCTTCAATACTCGATGCCGCGATGAACCACGACGGTAAGGTCGCACTCCCACAACCCGATTGACCTTGAGAACACTAAATATGCCACAGTCCCTTTTGTGAACATGCTCCAGCATCCAGCAGGTCTCCTCGCAGCACTGTTTGGGACACTGCCATGATGTGACAGGTTTCAATGCCAATCAACTCTGCCATGCTACGTGCACTGTAACTTTGTTCGTCCATTTGAGTAAAGGACTTTGTCGTGTCAGGTGATGCCATCGCTCAATGACCACATAACTGAATGGCTGAATATTGTCGATAAAAGGTAACATCAGTCTACATCACAGCCTAAACCAGATCATTCCCGCACCATCAGGAATGCTTCAGCTTCCCACAGCATGTCCTTCGAATATATAAGCTTAGGTACAGGATCATACAAGATCCACATGGCTTTCTCTGTGTCGCTGCCCTGGGTTACATCCGACGACGCCTAGGAAGCAACCCTTTTGCCATGGAGGGGTTTGTACATATCTGTGCAAAGGTGCCAATGGCCAGCTACCGAAACCGGGCCCGGTAGTGCTTTTCCCAAGCCCTCTAAAACCCTAAATCCCTAAAAACCCTAAACCCTAAACCCATAAAAACCCGAAACCCTACATTTCAATTTCGCCGGGCCCTTGTCTTCTAGTTTTGACGGACTTGGGTGGAGCTCCGCTCTGCCGGCCCGGGGAAAGGACAACTCGCGACGACACCGTAGTGTCGTGTCACAGCTTGCAGAGAGAGCCATCCGTTTGTCTTTTGTTGTCGAGGGCACTTAAAGAGGCCATCTTGGTTGACTTGTAACTGTCCAAATGAAGCGAACTTGTCCTGCGTCTGGGTCGCAGATGCTGTGGATTCCACCTGAGTGCGTCACTGACTGGCATGCCCTTCGAAAGACTTGCGGCCTGTATTCTGGAGATTGGAGCATGTGAGACATTGCCGAATACAGGCACCAGGCCCAAATGAAATGACACTGCCAGACTGAAAGAGGCTCCTTTTTGGAATCTCTTGCAGCAAGAGCATGTGCAAGTGGCCTCTACGATGTTCCGAGATACTCGGGGCGCGCCGCCGTTCTCCCGGGGCCATATGCGAGTTGGGGAGATGATGGAGTATGGTGCTGCTTCCCTCCCTGCTTCATATAGAGTGGTACTCAGTGGTATGCCATGATGTGTTGCAACTTAAGATGTGGGAAGACAGCTGCATCAATGTTTTGAGTAAGCAATGCACCGCGTCAAAACCTACCCATCAGTCGTAGCCCACAGCTCAATCCGTTGTATTCGGCTGCCGCAGTGCCATCAACGTCGAGTCACAGCCATGGCAATCTCAGCAGACCTTCACTATACTGTATTACCGATGGTGGCCATGCTGATCTTATCATGCTGAGGCTGACGACATGCAGACAGAAGTGACAGAAACTGACGGTGATGAAGAGATAATAGGAGGTCTAAAGCACAGCCATGCATCCATCATAGTCGTTCCCTTGTCAGCCATGGTTCGTATCAGAGTGCAAGATTCCCTATACTATGGTCGCGGTTGCGGCAGCCCCCCTTTTGCTTTCAGAGTTGCTTCATCTTTTCGCAAAGACTACCACGCGCCAGACATCGCGCGCTGCTGCCCTGCTGGGGGGACAGTGTTTGAAAAGCAAGCTGCTGGTGTCATTATGATTGCCATCACCGGAGAAATTTTCAGCACTGTCGCCGCCATCCGCATCGTGACCATCCTCAGCATCACCAGTGAAGCTGTCACCGTCATCGCCACCAACAGCATCATCTTCTAGACACAAACACAGTCATCGTCCATCACCAGCACCGCACCATCATCATACGAACATGTTTGTGGGTCGGTTTGCTGCCATGCTTGCGGTTGTAGTTGGTGCTGGTGCTGTTGCTATTGCTCTGACTGTTGCTGCTGCTGCTGCTGCTGCTGCTGCTGCTGCTGCTGCTGCTGTTGCTGTTGCTGTTGCTGTTGCTGTTGCTGCCGCTGCTGCTGCAGGTGTTGTTGTTGTTGCTGTTCTGGTTGTTGGTTGTTGGTTGTTTGTTGAGGAGCAGGAGGAGGCGGAGGAGGAGGTGCTCGTGGTGGTAGTGAAGTTGTTGTGGTTGTTGTTGCTGGTGCTGGTGCCACACTGAGCCGATGCCGGTGTCAGTTCGTGAGCTGCTTCTTGATTTGCATCGCCGCTTGCGCATCAGCTTGAAGCAAAATGACGGTGCGACCTTGCAAATGAAGCTTGAGTCAGGTGTGTTGCAAGGCGGTGGAACTGGTCCGCGCATATTTCGCATGGTCTACGATGCGTGCATCACACGGTGGCGTGATGCCACTCGTGACAACGATCTGATAGTTAGCTACAACGGTCACAGCCTTTCGCTCAGCGCAGCTGCCTATGCGGATGACCTTATTCGCATTCAATGTGGTAGCACCTTGAAACAACTTGAAGATCGCACACTTGCGTGCACGCATGCCTTGACTGTCGAGCTTCACCCCCGCAACTTGAAGTTGAATGCGAGGAAGGGTGAAACACTGTCGTCTTGCAAAGGCAAGGGTGCTTACAACGCCGCGAGGCGTGCTTTCAGTGGTGAATGGAAAGGCTACCCTGTCAAGCTTTGCGTCAAATACCTTGGAGCGCAGTTGCAAGCAAATGGCTCTTTGCAAGCGGAACTGCAGAAGCGGATTGGTGCTGCAAGGTCCGGCTTTGCCCGCTTTTCGAAGCTGTTCAAGCGCAGAACCGTTCCTGTTGCCCGCAAAGTGCTGATCTTCAAAGCTGTGGTGAACGAAGCTCTGCTGGCTGCGTTGGAGGTTCGCCCCGTGGGTTGCAGTGAGTGCCACACATTAGAGCGAGCACGTGGGCTGCTGCTCAGACGTTTGTTTGGCAGGCAAGGGTTCGGTGCCGTCGCTGGTGATGACAGACATGAGTCCGTCACGGTTGAATCGCTTAGACGGCGCGTGCAGCTTTCCACTGTTGCCTCTGAGCTGACCGTGCGCAGGTTAATGTGGCTCCGCACTTCTTTGCTTGCTGAGCTTGAGCTTGCTGCATTGTTCGGTGTCTGCGATAAGCTTGCCGATGCGGTCGACCTGCGTTCGGGCCTTCCGACGCAAAAGGCCCCACGTTTCTTGCATATTCTCTTCAAGGACCTGTCTCGCGTTCTGCCTTCGTTTACTGGGTTCAAAGCAGACTGGAAGCAGGATTTCTTACGTGTACCAGTTGACACAATCCAGCAATTGCGCACTTGCACGGCTTTGGAATCCAATTCTGCATCAGTTGTGGATCCTGCTGTTGCTGCTGAACAAATCGCAGAAATTGAAGAAAACCATCCTGGACCAGAGGAGTTGCAGCAGCTGATGTGTGACATTTGCGGCGAAGGCCCATGGAAGAACACAAGGGCCCTGCGAGGTCACAAGATTAGTAAGCACGGCTATCGCAACGCTGTTCAAACCACAACCTGCCCTATCTGTCATCGGGAGTTCACGTCCAAGAGCGCAGCACAAAGGCATGTCAAAAAACAGTCGTGCGGGAAAGCTGTGCAGAATCATGGTCATGCAGGTGCAGTTGCAGGAATTAGGATTGCGGAAGCAGCCGCTCGTGCCGCCGCTCACGCTGCTGCAAAGACGAAGGCTCAAACTGCTACTCGGAGTACTCAAGCTCCACTTCGCAGGTACTTCGGCACGCATAGCCATGCCGGGGTTGGACTTTCTTCCGGCAGTCGCGAGCCCTGCCGCATCGCGGCCCTCGAAGCGCAGTCGACCAGAAGTCGGGCGCCCGAAGGGATCGGCGGAACAGCAGGTTCAAGAGCTCAGCCAACAGATGCAGAAGATGTGTCAAGTCTTAGCCAGTCACGATCACAGCCTTCGAGAGTTGGAAGCTTGGTCAACTCTGACCTGGTTGCTCGATCAGAACAGCGAGCTCGCGAAGCATTTGATGGCTCACATGGATTCCTGGAAGCAGAAAGCACAGCAGGGGCAGCCTCATCCGGACGGACCGGCCAGGCTCACCGTAGCAGCAGCTCTGGCGAAATGGGTGCTAGACAGTCCTGAGCGCCGTGCTGCTTGTCCCCAGTTTGCGGATGCTCATGACAAGATTGCATCGATTGAAGAGATGAAGTCGAGCATTCAGCTCGCTTTCGTGAAGCCAATCAAGGACGGGCGCATCTTTCTCAAAATCAGGCCCCACTTGCAGATGCGGGATGCGTGGACAGAAGTCAGCGCAGTGCTGTCTGCAGTGGATTTCGCTGAGGCAAAGGACACGGCGGCACCTCCTGGGCCAATCATTCGCAGTCTCACAAAGAGTGACAAGTAGCTATGAAGCCAATTTTTGCATTTCATCTTGCACACAAGTGCTCATGCTTGCAGTGCTTGAAGAGGGGACCTGTGCCCCCCTCGGAGCCTAACCCCTTTTTTGCAAAGGGTCGCAGGGCCAGCTTTTGAGGGTATTCGATGCCCAAGTCGCTGTACCACCACCAGCTTCAAGCTCGTGTGCGCAGTCCTAGTACTGTGGTTACACAACAGCGGGATGTAGATATGCAAACGCTGACACTTCACCGCTACGTGGTTGCAATGCAATGCAAAAATGCTGGTGCTGGTGCTGGTGCTGATGCTGTTGTTGCTGTTGTTGTTGTTGTTGTTGCTGCTGCTGCTGCTTTGACTGCCGCTGTCGTCGTCGTGGTGGTGGTTGCTGTTGTGTTTGCGGTTGTGATTGTCATTGGGGTTGTGGTGGTGGTTCTGGTCGTTGTTGTGGTCGTTGTTGCTGTTGTTGTTGTTGCTGCTGTTGTTGCATTGTCGTTGTTATATTGTTGTCAGTGTTGTTGACGTTGTAGTGGTTGTCGTCGCCTGGGAAGAGTTTTCAATCGGCTGAGGCATTCAGATTCCATCCTGAGCCGGGAAAGCCCTTGGAAGTCCAATCGAACGCAGACCACAGCACCCAAGTCCCAGCCCCCTCAAACCTTTAAACCCTCAACCGTTACACACTAATTATAGCTTCCTACTATAGGGGCCTGAATAAATACCTGTAGTATTTTGGGGGCTCCTTATTATAACTATAGTACCATGGGCCCCAAAGCCCTATTCTACTTATGAAGGCCCCCATATTAAACCTATCGCCAAGCTCTTCGGCTTCAAGATCCGCGTGCAGAACCCCGAAGGCCAGTACACCCCGGGCTCTTTTGTTGTCACAGTTTGCCTCTTCAGGAAGCCCCGAAGAACCAGGGTAATGTAGGGGCCTTAATCATTAGAACTGGGGTTTGGGGGGGGCATATTATACTATAGTTATAATAAGGAACCCCCAAAACCCCATTCTAATTGTTAAGGCCCTTACATTAGTTCTCAAATCAAGAGTCCCTTCCTTTTAGGGCCCTTTTTATTAGCGTGTCAGAACTACCCATCAAGACATAACTAACCCTTATCCACACCCCTGCCACTTTTGTGTATCAACTTCATTCTGCGCTCATTTATGCATCTGGTGTGTTGATGTATGTATGTATGTACGTATGTATGCATGCATGGCTGCATGGATGCATGGATCCATGGATGGATGGATGGATGGATGGATGCATGGATGCATGGATGCATGGATGCATGGATGCATGCATGGATGAATGTTCGCAGGTATGTATGTACGTAGGTATGTATGCGTGCATGCATACTATCTTAGCTTACTTCTGTAGTCATGTCTGTACACACTGTTCATATACTCATATATTCATGTGCTTGCAGACTTATCTATTAATGTGCATTTTCATTTGTCTGTTTCCTGTTTTTGTGATTGTGTGGCGCCAGGCTTCGATCCGAGCCAGGTTGCAGGATGGACTCTCTTCACCGCAGATGCCGGACTCCGAGGAGTTCCACAGGTTTTTGGTTCAGTGTTTTACAGGGGTTTGAGGGTTTTATTTTGGCTTGATAGCATTTTGTCGCGGTTTTCGGCCATGTACACTGTCTAGGTCCAGTTGCCCGAGCGGCGAACCCGGAGAGTTCCGGGTGAGGTGTCTCTGATTCCCGATTCCCGCCAGTAAGTGCAACGTGACGTGTCCGCCAACTGTCGCTATGGTGAAGTGTCTCCGAATCCCGCCACGTATGCGAAGGTTCTGCCAATTGCCGGTGGCCAGGTGTCCATGAATTTCGCCAATACATTGGGAAAGCGTTGGTCGCGCCTGTGAAGCCCGGTGGTCTTTGCGTCGTTTCCTGGCATCTCCAGGCAGTCTCCTGGCGGTCCTGGTGGTCCTATGACTCTCAAACCGCTGCATTGCTGGCTTCACTCGTTGTTGACGTCTGGAAATGATAAGAGGCCTCTTCTGAGGGTTCCGACTACGCGGGTGTTTGAGGCCTTTACGTCCTCGAGCCAGAGGTGTGGTTTTGCATCAAGCCATGCCAGCATCATGATGTCTGGTAGCGACCACGGAAAGCAATCTCTCAAGCCCTAAACGCGGAATGCTTGCACGGATTCTGTCTCGTCTGGGCTTTGGAGAACCATACTTTAGTACTTTCTCTGGGTTTTAGTCTATACTTGTTTCTCCCTGGTTACGTCAAAGTCCAGTTACCTGTCTGGAGTCCACAGCTCCTAAGGCGAGCGAGTATGTAGTCGATGGCACGCCACAGTCAGCGGCTGAGAATGCTTCATTCGCGGGTTCCGTAAGGCTTGGCTCTTTCACAACGTGCTGTTTGCACAGGCTTTGTCTTTCAAGGTTGTGGGAGAGTACCTGCTGTCAAGTCGGAGCTGTGTAGCATGTAACAAGAAAGACTACGCTGCGACAGTACGCAGATCATGCTTCGGACTTGGTTCAACAGACTTTTGTAGCCGTGAGCCTTGGTTACAAAGCTTGCAACATCGCGAATCAGCCGAGAACTTCATTCTCTCTCAGGACCATTCCCTTCACTTCTATGGACAGCACAAGCCTGGCCCTTGCTGGACGGACTTTGGACAGGGCCGTAGGGATCTACTTCAGATTTACGGGTTTAGAGATGAATGTAATGCATCCAGGAAGAAGACGCGATGAGGAATAGCAAATGAATTGTCTGGCTTCTTTGGCTTCTATTGTGCACGTGGGCTTTCTCGGAATGCTCTGAGAGCAGAAATCAAGCTCTTCGATCTGTCCATTCCGTGTTCACACGTGGCGCTGACCCAATCTGATACAATATCTATACGTCTTAGGCCTTTCATAATGTTATAGGCTCAGAGCGTTTAGGTCCTTAATGGCCGTGTCCCTGTTTAGGGTTCTGGTACTTGGAGTTTGGCACTTCTTGATGTCATCTCTCTATCTCTAGCTATCATCTCGCTCTCGCTCTCGTGCACTGTCTGTCTCGCTCTCTCGCTCTCTCTCTCTCTCTTCATCTCTCTCTTTGTCTCTCTCTCTCTCTCTCTCTCTCTCTCTCTCTCTCTCTCTCTCTCTCTCTCTCTGTTTGCAAAAGAGAAAGCCTGCATATCGCCTAGAAGCCCCCAGCCGAAATCCTTCGAGGCTGGGGGATCTACTCCAGTTCAACCTTGGAAGTGATGGTCAAGGCACCTACGGAACGAACTGTGGAAGGGTTCATTGAGTGTCAGGGTTTTTAGGTTTGGGGCTTCAGGCCCCTTTGCCTTGTAACAGAATTCTAGAGCCTGTAGACCACCTGTTTATATATATATATATAGATACATGCACACTATATGAAGTAGAGTTAAATAAAGTAGTATCGATAGATAACGACATAGATATCGAAATGTCACCCATTATCACATATGCTACCATATTGCAACACGTTGTAACATGTTGTAGCAAATCGCGGCAAGTGCTATTGCTGGTTATATTGTCAGTTACATTTAGTGTTATAACTGCTGTAACGATAGTATTAATGCTTCTTACATCTAATGACTACTATTATAACCACTACTACTGTTGTGATTATAGGGTTCTGCTGCCTATGTCATTATAGTCCTTATGCAGAACGTATTGCAGCATGGCATAATATGCTGCAAGACATCAACATTTGGTTTTGTATGCTTGGGCATTCTATGTTTTACGATAGTAAACCTTGCTATAATGTGCTATGGCATTTTATAATGCTTTACAGTTTGTGACACATGAGAATCGCATAGTGCATGTTAATGTGTTAGACGTTGACGGCTCTCAGAAGTTCATGTGCTCCATCAAGATCTTCAGTGTGATGCCTTGTCTGAAGTTGAAATGCAGGCAACTGCGTTGTATCATACTAATAGTATGTTGCACCATGTTGCATTGTAAGCTTACTTGTGCAGTACAGTCTAGTCTAGTCTAGTCTAGGCTTGCCTGGTAACTTAGTATACGAGGGTATAGTCGTACACTACCGCAGAGTAGAGTAGAGACTAGCGTAGATTATCACATAGTATAGAACCGCATTGTACGCTGTATCATAGTGTAGTTTATGACCGTATCTGCTCTTAGTAGTAATCGTGTGCGTATCGGAGATACGGATCTTATGTGCTAATCCTTCTTCAGACTGCATAGTGTCGCCGGGTATGCACAGGGAGACGACTGTGACTGGATGCCACCGTTGCACAGGTCAAGTTCTGGAAATTAACCTCGAAATGTTTTGAGCTATCAAGTCGAATTCACTGCAGCCTAAACCCTCGTAGTTTGCTCAAAACTTCGCAACATGCAGCCCGCAATTTGTTGATCCGCCTAGTCTTTTCGCCTACCTGAAACTGTTACCCGATAGTAAAGTGCATGAAACAGAAAGTCAGAACCCATGTTTCAGAGCGCAAGTCTTCCGCCCACTATTCGGTTTCCTTCTAGCTGGCAGTGAAACTTTCCGCAGATTGCACTCTCGGGATCTGTTCGCAAACCCCGAGACATATCGTAAACCCTAAGCCCCAGAAGCCCCCAGACCCTACCTTAACCCCAAATAACCTACCTTGTTCAAGGTTTCAGGGTTTAGGGTTTAGGGTTTAGGGTTTAGGGTTTCATATAAGGGAATCATATTAAGTGACCCTGTAACGGTAGGTTTCTAAGGGTCCAGACATACCCTAAACCCTAAACCCTCAACCCTCAACCCTAAGTCAAAGGCCCCATATACCGCGTAGAACCTTTTCCTTTAGGCCTATAGAAGGGGTTGCCTTGCGTCTTCGATTCCTAGAAGACTCCGGGCCCATAACTCTATTCTATATTAAAGGGATCTGTAAGGCTTTAAAGGATCTATAAGGGATCTATAGAGTTCACGGTTTCCGGTGTAGGTTATGTTATACTATGTCATATTCTGTGTATATCTACAGCATACCGTACAGGATCGTCAAGTATGCTGCAGTATCGTCCCTGCTCAGATCAGCGACCTCCGGCCCTTTCAGATGACGGAGCGACGCTCCTGGGTGTGGGGCACTAAGGGAGCTGAGAGGTGGTTTGGGTTAGGGCTGCAGGATTTGAGGGTTGAGAGGGGTGTAGAGTTGGGATTAGAAGTCTCGGGGGTTAGGGGTCAGGTTTAGGGTTGAGGTTTAGGGTCTAGGGCCCAGCATGGATCTTGATCCCATTCGGCTACCGGGTGCCGTGGAGCTTTTCAGCCAAGGTCCGTTCTCATCAGCAACCACCCGGTTGGCGATACCGGCTTCATACGCTTCCGAGCACCAGACGGGTATGCTCGGAGCCTAGCTGCTCAAAGCAGTCCGATAGGTTTTGTGCAGCTGGGGCCGTAGCTTGGCAGTCCTATGATTGAGCATGTTGAGCCCGGTAGCCTCCATTGGTGCCACAATTACAACGCCACAGCCTCAGGGGTCGCAAGTGCCTGCCATCCGCACGCATCATACAAGCGCAAGTCGTCTTGCATCAAAGTTCAAGCGAATCACATGCAAATTGCAGGCAGGTCTGCAACAAGCTTCTTTTTTTAGCTGTTGTGGGCGACACTGGGTTCCAACCGCAATGGGATGATGAATCCGGTCTGTTAACATCCCATCCAGGACAGACAGTATGCATGTGCACACCGCGCCGGCGAATGTAGAATCCTACCTTGTTTTCTGCCCCGGATGGTCCAGTCCTGTCATGGTACTGGGTGACATGGGAGGTGTGGAACTTTGATGACACGGAGTTTGTCTACCAGACACTGGCCAACACGCCGATAGGCACAGCCCCTTCTTTCTATTCGTGCTTGATGTTCTTTACCGGTACTGCTGCAAGATGCACTGATGAGTTTCGTGAGCTGTGCTGAAGCGACCATTTTGCTCGACTGACCCTGCTCTGGCTCATCGGCGGCTGAGGACAAGTGTGCCAAAGCGCGTGCCGCTTCAGAGACCCCAGATAGAATATCATCGACATCCTCTTGAGCCATGCTGCGCTCGCTGCTGACGGTGCTCGTTGTGTCGCCGGCCTTGGCCCACCCGCGGCGACTGGGGAAGACGCCCTCTTTCGACTCCAGCAGTGCGAGGGAGACACCAACGAACTTCAGCATGGTCTCCCGCGCTGCTTGACCGACCTTTCGCACACGAAATCGGTGCAGTGAGCTTGTTGCACAGTTACATATCCCAATGACGCCTCTCTGTGTTTTCTTTCTGTGATTGAGGTCTACATTCCCTACAACACCTCGGATCAGGCGTTGGCATTTGGCATGGGTGCGGCCGAGCAGGTCGCATACGACCACGTGCAGAAGCGCCTTGCTTGTTCTTTGCATAGAGCTCGTCGCTCTGGCCGCGACATGTGGGGCTCGTCCTATAGAGCTCGCATTTTCAGGTATGCCTACGCCGTCTCCGAGCAGGGAGTGCTCAACGTCATCGACTGGAACGACGTGGCCAATCCTCAGGTGCCCCTGTGCAATCAGGCAGCCAGCATTCGTTTGCGGCCCGAATGTGGCCCACTTCATCAGCACTGCTTTCTGGCGACTAAGGTGCTGTCAAACTACGCCTTTGACTTCAACGGCGCGAAGCTCACGGACATCGAGATTTGCTCCTCGCAGGGTGTGATGTTCGTGGGCGCCGGTGCTGCAGACACCGTGAGCAATGGCCAGGTCCACATCCTGTCAACAGTGCAGCGAAGCTCGCCGGCAAAGCCCACGAGCTACGGCACGCTCGCCACGGGGCCGCTGCCAGACATGATCTTGCCCAACAGTGACTGCACCAAGCTGGCAGTGGCAAACGAAGGAGAGGGAGAGTACGAGAGCGAGCTGATTGATCCGCAGGGCAGCGTCATGATCATCGAGGCCGCCGATTGGACCACTCCCGCCGCTGCCGTCACCAAGTCTGTCAGCCTCGCTGGCTACACTGACAGCCAGCTGATGGACATGGGCGTGTGTCTGGGCGACGTGAGATATATAGCTGCTTCGGGCGATACCGTAAGTATCGGCAGATTGAGGGATGGAGTTACTGGTACTTGCTGCTGCAGTGTGGCACACGTTCGGCCGAGGCACCTGCCATTGCCCCTGGACGCCATGGTGCTCCTCGGTGGCCCACGTTTAGGACAGCAGTGCACACTCTCTCACAGACGCTTGTCTTGTTCAGGGAAGGCAGTTTGCCTGTGTCGCGGCTGCACCAAGGTATTTCGATGACCATTCCAAGTGGAAGGACGACCTCAACTTCTCCGCTGCCAGGGCCTCCTACTCCTCTGCCATGATCCTCGGTTGCAGAGTCCACGAAGCCCCTCTGAGCGCAGTTGCTTTGAGATGGAGCCGCCGCTGCGGTGCCTGAGGAACCTTGAGCCGGAGTACCTCTCCTGGTCCGCCGACGACTCCACGCTCTTCGTGAATCTGCAGGAGAACAATGCTGTGGCCATCATCGACGCACTTCGGCTCGGCCTGGCGGAGATGCCCCTTGGCCTTGTGATGCTTTAAGTGAAGAGCCGAGGTGCCGGCGACAGGCTCCCCAACGCTCAGCACGATCTCAGGCCTCGGCCTGAAGGACCCGAACTACATGAAGTGCAGTGCACATGTTCGTGCGGGGACTTCGAGGGATCTCTGGCAGTGAGGACCATGGCAGCGTTCCCATCGATATCAATGCTGATGACAAGGCCTGCGTCCAAGCCACGCCCCTTGGCCTCAGCAAAGACGAGAGTACATCTTCGATTCTTTGTGCTTCCGGCCTTGCTCTTTGCCGTCTGAGGTACACTGGCCTCATGGCCCTCCGCCATCCCGATGCTATCCAGGCCGTGGAAGTGGACGGCAAGACCTACGTCATCACCGCCAACGAAGGTGACGACAAGGCCCTTGAAGTTTGCCCCATGCCATGCTACTGACTCTATGCCGCGATTGCGATAAGCGCGGGGTACCAGTGCAAGTCTGTCTGTGTGCTTCTCAGGGCTACGGCGACTTCGAGGAGAAGATGAAGCTTAAGGCCAGCAGACGCCGCCTGCATGTGTCTACTGAATCTATAATTTGATTAAGTGTTGTGCGCAGATGACCCTGTAGGATGTTGTGAACGACGACGGCACCGTGGACGGTGACATGGTGGGCATGACAGTCAGCGCGAGCGCGCGCAGCACCGCGATGGCCGTCAGCGCCGTCGGGGACAGTTTGAGGAGCCGTTGTAGTTCCAGGGCGGGAATGCGTAGGTGCAGTACAGAACTTGAACATATCAATTCATCAATAACAGAAAAGTGATAAGAGAGCCGAATATATATATATATATATATATATATATATGTGTGTGTGTGTGTGTCGAGAAGGATGCAGAAGGGAGAGGATGGGCGCATAGGTAGAATCTAGGAGCGTCTCGCATACGAGTCCAGGATCACCGTTGGCTCTACGGCCATCAACTACACGGACCCGTCGGCTCCAGAGATTCAGCACATCGTGGCCTTCGGTGGCCGTGGTGTATCCATCTATGAGCACGGCACATCCGGCCTCGCACTCACCTGGGATTCTGGTGATCAAGTCGAGAAGGAGCAGTGTGCCCACTACCCCTGGGCACACAACGCCATCCAGGACGAGGAGTTCTCTCCCGTGAACGGCCACCTCTACATGTCGGCGGGATCCAAGCTCCGTGAGACCTTGGATGAGATGAACGACCCCAGCAAGGACGGCTGCGCAGATGGCGGCGACGGCCAGGCAGGTGCATGCCCTCTCGGTCAGATGGTGGATGACCGCTCTGCAAAGGATGGTCCCGGCGTGGAAGCCATCGTGGCCGGCAAGGCCTGCGGCTCTCTCCTGGCGGTGACCGCCACAGAGAAGCAGGGCACAGCTTTCGTCTACGACATCTCCAACATCGCCTCTCCCACACTGCTCTTCGTGAAGCATCTTTCTCCGGCTTCCGAGACCAAGAACCCTGGCGTGGCCTATGCCGACGGCACCCTGGGAGAGATCGATCCCGAAGCCATGATCTTCCTCGAAGATGCGCACTCTCCCTCTGGCAAGGCTGGTGTGATGTTCGCAGGTGCCTGGTCCGGAACAATGTCTTTCTGGGAGTTTGAGTGCCCCACCGCTACGACCACAGAGACCGGGGCCACCGACACCAGCGGCACGCGCGAAGTGGGCGCTGTGTCCATGAGCTTGTTGCTCCTTGCCTTCAGTTTTGCACGGCTCTGAGCTAGCCGTAACTCTGAGAGCACGAGACGCCAAACCGTGCGACGTGCCCTCGGCTCTGTATAGAATGGGGTGAAACATCTTCGCATGACCCCGTGCTGTACAGCCTCACATGGCTGATCTTTTCAGCCGATTCTAGAGCACCACTGCAAGGCGCCAGCTCAACTTGGGTCCTTGTCCAAGTTTTCCTAGGTGTTGCATGTATCTGATCTGTATTAAACATGTAAAACTCTACATTCATATGTGTTTCCTGTTGTATTTAAACAGAGAGAGAGGAGAGACCCAGTATCTCTGTCTATATCTTATATATCTATGTGTCTGTACATTTATCTGCGTCTATCTCTATGGCACTATGGTTATATCCAGAGTCCAGAGTTATGTCTATGTCTACATCTGTATCGATCTACATATATTTATCTGTATTTGTATCTGTATCTATGTCTATCTCTTTACATCACATGTAATGTGTATATATATATATATGTATATACACACGTATAGATCTAGATATATAGAGTTAGACCTATAGATCTATGCTTATTCATATACACAAGGATTGTACGCAGCATCACAGGTCTTCTCATTCTATTGCCCTGGACCTCCTTCCGGATGCATCGGCACCGTTCCCAACGGCGGGCATCGGGAGGGGTTGCAACGGTTGGCCGGCGCTTTGCATTTTTCGCGAACTCAAACCGCGGCAAAGCTGCGGTATCAGAAATTTCTATACTCGGCTTGGGCCCGGAACTGCACAAGGCTTGCCAACTTTGGGACTCCGAAGGGCTCTCACAGCCCGCGTGACGTGAAGTGTTGCAAGCATGTGCCAATCCGAGTCATACAGCCGGCAGAGTATTGCCTGTTTGGGCTGCCTGCGAATCTCTTGACGACGAACGATCCTGGCAGTGGGGGCGGCTACGGGTGAGGTGCAGCTAGCCACTCCAAGGGCAGTTGAGCTTCACCTGTAAATCTCGCCACCCCCGCCAGAGTCCCGCAATGACGAGCAGCATCGAGACCTTCATCGCAAGGCACGTCAGAAAGCTGGGACTTGGCAAAAGGATGTCATGGTAAGCCGGGTCTTGTCTGCCCTCGCACCCACCCCCCGTGATAGCCACAAAAAGCCATGAGCTGGCTCTTGACAGCTTCAGTCGGCTGCGAAACTCGAGCAGTTCGGGGGCACGGTAGGAAACGGGCTCACGCAGAGGATGATAAAGCTTTCTAGTTACTAGTTGGTTTGACGGGTTGCAAGTCAATTTAAAATATCGGCTAGCGGATTGGGGCCAGGGCTTCCAGTTCAGAGAGCACGGCTTCAGCATCGATCTTTGCAAGCCCTCTCCCTGAAACGCTGCGTGCATGCCAACGAGTCTCAGGCATCCGGCACTTTGGTGATGATCCTTGGAGAGTAGTCGATTCGGGAAGGAGCCTGCAGCATCGAGAGGGTAAGTGTAGGATCCTGATTGTAAGCCCAAAAATGCCGCACCTACTATATGGGCCTAAATAACTACCTATACTGTTTTTTTTGTGGGGGCTCCTTATTAGAAGTACAGTATAGCACACCCCCAAACCCTATTCTAAATCTTAAGGCCCCTATACTAAACCCTAAACCCTATAAAGCATGTATTAGAGCTTAGCAGGACCATACACAGCCATCGGCCCGAAGTGTTTGTTTGGTAACTACGTGATCCTGAAAGGAAAAAGCAAAGGGAGTTGGGCATGCCTGACAGGTTCCTTCAAGTCAAGTAGAAGTAGAAGTAGAAGTAGCAGTAGCAGTAGCAGTAGTAGTAGTAGTAGTAGTAGTAGTAGTAGTAGTAGTAGTAGTAGTAGTAGTAGTAGTAGTAGTAGTAGGCTGATAAAAACACGTCAGTTATTTCTGGACACTTTGGTACTCTGCCCCTCTCTGGCTCATCGGCGGCTGAGGACAAGTGTGCCAAAGCGTGTGCCGCTTCAGAGACCCCAGATAGAATATCATCGACACCCTCAGTCTTGAGCCATGCTGCGCTCGCTGCTGACGGTGCTCGTTGTGTCGCCGGCCTTGGCCCACCCGCGGCGACTGGGGAAGACGCCCTCTTTCGACTCCAGCAGTGCGAGGGAGACGCCAACGAACTTCAGCATGGTCTCCCGCGCTGCTTGACCGACCTTTCGCACACGAAATCGGTGCAGTGAGCTTGTTGCACAGCTACATATCCCAATGACGCCTCTCTGTGTTTTCTTTCTGTGATTGAGGTCTACATTCCCTACAACACCTCGGATCAGGCGTTGGCTTTTGGCATGGGTGCGGCCGAGCAGGTCGCCTACGACCACGTGCAGAAGCGCCTTGCTTGTTCTTTGCATAGAGCTCGTCGCTCTGGCCGCGACATGTTGGGCTCGTCCTATAGAGCTCGCATTTTCAGGTATGCCTACGCCGTCTCCGAGCAGGGAGTGCTCAACGTCATCGACTGGAACGACGTGGCCAATCCTCAGGTGGGCAGCCAGCATTCGTCTGCGGCCCGAATGCGGCCCACTCAGCAGCACTGCTTTCTGGCAACTAAGGTCCTGTCAAACTACGCCTTTGACTTCAACGGCGCGAAGCTCACGGACATCGAGATTTGCTCCTCGCAGGGTGTGATGTTCGTGGGCGCCGGTGCTGCAGACACCGTGAGCAATGGCCAGGTCCACATCCTGTCAACAGTGCAGCGAAGCTCGCCGGCAAAGCCCACGAGCTACGGCACGCTCGCCACGGGACCGCTGCCAGACATGATCTTGCCCAACAGTGACTGCACCAAGCTGGCAGTGGCAAACGAAGGAGAGGGAGAGTACGAGAGCGAGCTGATTGATCCGCAGGGCAGCGTCATGATCATCGAGGCCGCCGATTGGACCACTCCCGCCGCTGCCGTCACCAAGTCTGTCAGCCTCGCTGGCTACACTGACAGCCAGCTGATGGACATGGGCGTGTGTCTGGGCGACGTGAGATATATAGCTGCTTCGGGCGATACCGTAAGTATCGGCAGATTGAGGGATGGAGTTACTGGTACTTGCTGCTGCAGTGTGGCACACGTTCGGCCGAGGCACCTGCCATTGCCCCTGGACGCCATGGTGCTCCTCGGTGGCCCACGTTTAGGTCAGCAGTGCACACTCTCTCACAGACGCTCGTCTTGTTCAGGGAAGGAAGTTTGCCTGTGTCGCGGCTGCACCAAGGTATTTCGATGACCATTCCAAGTGGAAGGACGACCTCAACTTCTCCGCTGCCAGGGCCTCCTACTCCTCTGCCATGATCCTTGGTTGCAGAGTCCACGAAGCCCCTCTGAGCGCAGTTGCTTTGAGATGGAGCCGCCGCTGCGGTGCCTGAGGAACCTTGAGCCGGAGTACCTCTCCTGGTCCGCCGACGACTCCACGCTCTTCGTGAATCTGCAGGAGAACAATGCTGTGGCCATCATCGACGCGCTTCGGCTCGGCCTGGCGGAGATGCCCCTTGGCCTTGTGATGCTTTAAGTGAAGAGCCGAGGTGCCGGCGACGGGCTCCCCAACGCTCAGCACGATCTCAGGCCTCGGCCTGAAGGACCCGAACTACATGAAGTGCAGTGCACATGTTCCTGCGGGGACTTCGAGGGATCTCTGGCAGTGAGGACCATGGCAGCGTTCCCATCGATATCAATGCTGATGACAAGGCCTGCGTCCAAGCCACGCCCCTTGGCCTCAGCAAAGACGAGAGTACATCTTCGATTCTTTGTGCTTCCGGCTTTGTGCTCTTTGCCGTCTGAGGTACACTGGCCTCATGGCCCTCCGCCATCCCGATGCCATCCAGGCCGTGGAAGTGGACGGCAAGACCTACGTCATCACTGCCAACGAAGGTGACGACAAGGCCCTTGAAGTTTGCCCCATGCCATGCTACTGACTCTATGCTGCGATTGCGATAAGCGCGGGGTACCAGTGCAAGTCCGTCTGTGTGCTTCTCAGGGCTACGGCGACTTCGAGGAGAAGATGAAGCTTAAGGCCAGCAGACACAGCCTGCATGCGTCCGCTGAATATATTGTTTGATGTTAGGTGTTGTGCGCAGATGACCCTGTAGGATGTTGTGAACGACGACGGCACCGTGGACGGTGACATGGTGGGCATGACAGTCAGCGCGAGCGCGCGCAGCACCGCGATGGCCGTCAGCGCCGTCGGGGACAGTTTGAGGAGCCGTTGTAGTTCCAGGGCGGGGATGCGTAGGTGCAGTACAGAACTTGAACATATCAATTCATCAATAAAAGAAAAGTGATAAGAGAGCCGAGTATTATATATATGTATATATATATATATATATATATATGTGTGTGTGTGTGTCGAGAATGATGCAGAAGGGAGAGGATGGGCGCATAGCTAGAACCTAGGAGCGTCTCGCATACGAGTCCAGGATCACCGTTGGCTCTACGGCCATCAACTACACGGACCCGTCGGCTCCAGAGATTCAGCACATCGTGGCCTTCGGTGGCCGTGGTGTATCCATCTATGAGCACGGCACATCCGGCCTCGCACTCACCTGGGATTCTGGTGATCAAGTCGAGAAGGAGCAGTGTGCCCACTACCCCTGGGCACACAACGCCATCCAGGACGAGGAGTTCTCTCCCGTGAACGGCCACCTCTACATGTCGGCGGGATCCAAGCTCCGTGAGACCTTGGATGAGATGAACGACCCCAGCAAGGACGGCTGCGCAGATGGCGGCAACGGCCAGGCAGGTGCGTGCCCTCTCGGTCAGATGGTGGATGACCGCTCTGCAAAGGATGGTCCCGGCGTGGAAGCCATCGTGGCCGGCAAGGCCTGCGGCTCTCTCCTGGCGGTGACCGCCACAGAGAAGCAGGGCACTGCTTTCGTCTACGACATCTCCAACATCGCCTCGCCCACCCTGCTCTTCGTGAAGCATCTTTCTCCGGCTTCCGAGACCAAGAACCCTGGCGTGGCCTATGCCGACGGCACCCTGGGAGAGATCGATCCCGAAGCCATGATCTTCCTCGAAGATGCGCACTCTCCGTCGGGCAAGGCTGGTGTGATGTTCGCAGGTGCCTGGTCCGGAACAATGTCTTTCTGGGAGTTTGAGTGCCCCACCGCTACGACCACAGAGACCGGGGCCACCGACACCAGCGGCACGCGCGAAGTGGGCGCTGTGTCCATGAGCTTGTTGCTCCTTGCCTTCAGTTTTGCACGGCTCTGAGCTAGCCGTAACTCTGAGAGCACGAGACGCCAAACCGTGCGACGTGCCCTCGGCTCTGTATAGAATGGGGTGAAACATCTTCGCATGACCCCGTGCTGTACAGCCTCACACGCCTGATCTTTTCAGCCGATCCTAGAGCACCACCGCAAGGCGCCAGCTCAACTTGGGTCCTAGTCCAAGTTTTCCCAGGTGTTGCATGTATCTGATCTGTATTAAACATGCAAAACTCTACATTCATATGTGTTTTCTGTTGTATATAAATAGAGAGACCCAGTATCTCTGTATGTATCTATATATCTATGTATCTGTACATTTATCTGCATCTCTCTCTATGGCACCTTATGGCTATAACCAGAGTCCAGAGATGTCTGTGTCTACATCTGTATCTATGTCTATCTCTTTACATCATATGTATATATATATATGTATAGATTATATATATATATATATATATAGACGTATAGATCTAGATCTAAGATTTGGACATAGATCTATGCTATATATTCATATACACAAGGATTGCACGAAGCATCACAGGTCTTCTCATTCTATTGCCCTGGACCTCCCTCCGGATGCATCGGCACCGTTCCCAACGGCGGGCATCGGGAGGGGTTGCAACGGTTGGCTGGCGCTTTGCATTTTTCGTGAACTCAAACCGCGGCAAAGCTGCGGTATCAGAAATTTCTATACTCGGCTTGGGCCCGGAACTGCACAAGGCTTGCCAACTTTGGGACGCCGAAGGGCTCTCACAGCCCACGTGACGGACATGTTGCAAGCATGTGCCAATCCGAGTCCACATAGCCGGCAGAGTATTGCCTGTTTGGGCTGCCTGCGAATCTCTTGACGACGAACGATCCTGGCAGTGGGGGCGGCTACGGGTGAGGAGTAGGCAATGTAGCAAGCATTGGTCATTGATGTTGGTTGAGTTGAGTTTTTGGCGGTGGCACTTGACCCTCACCTATGAAACCCACCACCCCCGCCAGGATTGAATAATGGCAAGCAGTATCCAGAGACGGGATCTTCAGCAAGATGCGCGAAGGAGACAAGAGGCTCCAGAGTCGCAGGTGCTCCCACGCCTCATGCAGGCTACTCATTGGTCATGCGATTCTCTTGAGACGATCATTTCGTTTCCATACAGTCAAGCCGAAATTGTATGGCACCCTGGCGAAACCCCTTCAACCGCAAACTTCCGTCGCAGCTCTGCGCGCCTTGGTCCCCGACGGTGTGACGGCCGACTTCCCATCAGGACGGCATTGGCTTAGGGGTTTGGGGGTTCGGGGGTTTCGGGGTCCAGCATTTAGGGTTTAAGGGACCAGACCTGGAGGGTTTGTCTCGGCAAGTCTGCAGTCCTCGTAGTATACTGTAGCCCGAGATGCGCTCGAGCTTCTAGGCTGGAAGCTGTCTGGATGTTTAAAGGGTTGAGGCTTTGGAGCAAGCAAAACCAGAAACAGTGTCATCGCTGGAGGGTCTCTTCGAGGCCACCTGAACTCCAAAAAGCAAGTTGTCCTATATCAAGATGAATCTACGATAATTTACAACAAGATAACATAATCCACTACGTTGTCATACCACGGTATATAGTGTTAAACTGTCAGCGGTGAAGACCTGATGCCCTGGTTCCCTTTATTACCAGGGCTCTCCATGCATGCGCCTGCAGGCACGCCGCTCCCCAGAGATGGCACCAAAACGCTGATCTTCAGGCTGATGCAGTTGTTTGCTGCATGGGCTGGGCATAGGCATTTCTTGGTGTGTGAAGCCAGCCGTGGCATAGTTTTCAGGTCTTTCCGCAACCAAAAAACAGGCCCCCCGAAGTTCGGCCGTGCACTGAAAGATCCTCTTGGAGTCAGATCCCGAGGCTCCTCGCGAAGCATGGCTACATGCTGAACCTTCTGCACTGGCTCTGAATCCCAAAACTCATCCGAAGATTTGAAGCCCAAAGCTTGTGTGTTATAGCACCTTTCAAACTCGAACACGACACCCTCTCTGACCTGAAAAGGGAACCCTATCATAGACCAGTATAGTACCGTCTAACGGGACCCTATTATAGATTCCTACAACCATGTCAACTCTCGGAGACCTGGCGTCATGGCGGAGTTTGCCATCTACGGCTTCGCGGCGCCAGTAGAGGCCAAAGAGGAGTGAGTTTGAGATCTCGGATACTTGGAGGTTCATGTGTAGTTACATGTAGGGTTATAAGTAGGGTGACCATATACCTATACCCATATGAAGGGACTTATAACCCTACTTATAACTACCCCTGAAGCTCCAAGGATTCAGGGCTTAGGGCTTAGGGGCCACGTACTAGTGGGGGTTAGTTTGGCTTTTGGGGTCTCGGATTAGGCTTCAGGGTTAAGGGCTTCGGGGTGTATAGCTGTTTGAAGGCTGCAAGTTAGCTGGACAGCTGCTTTTGGTTGGGCCTTCCCCTTTGCCGAGACATGGGTCTGTGGACTTGTGATGCCCCACCCAGAATTCAGCGATAAACCCCAATGTAGGAACCTGATTAAGAAACCTTGGGCCTCTATTGGGGTCCCTTATTTTATGAATCCTACTATATTTGGGGGTTATGGGCCCAGGGTTTCTTATTCAGGTTCCTACATTAAACCGGAATAGGGTTTAAGAACTTAGGGGTTTGGAGCTTTTTGGGGCTTCATTTCGGGTGGACTCCTGTGAGATTCGAACTGCAAAGTCAGTCCCTGGCTCTTCTCATGGAAAGGTCTTCCGTTGGAGATGGGTCAGGGTTTAGGCTTTGCGGAACGTGAAAAGTTAGGGTTTGCGGTCTTAGCAGTCACAATAAGTATTAAGCCATGATACGGATAGCTACTCGATATCATTGTCACCACCTCTATTCTTGCCTTACCGTTGAATTTGTGTTGCATTCCTTGGCATCTTTATGTGTGTGCACGGGCTAAATGCTTTTGCCCTGACGGCGAAGAGGGACGGAATTCTCACAAGCTTCAGCAGAATGTTGTATCGAGCTGCCTGAACTTTGCATGGGCACTCTTGTATATTGGGCCCCAGGTATTCGACTTGATAGTCTTCGGTTCATGAGCACGCTGCATAATTCGTCTGATCTGGGTTTACAGACGCAGCAAAACAAAGTTGTGCAACCCCTACTGATTACCAGTAGTATCGCCACTCAAAAGGGGCACGAGGCCTGCAAGAAATCGCACGGAGGGAACTGCAGTGGTTGGTATGGCCGTTCGTATGTCCATACTTGCCGCCCTCCGACACTGCCAAAATTAATTCCGTACTGCGGCAGGTGCCGGCGAAGACACCCACTGCGTCAGCAAATGCATTCTTCTTCGAGATGGGCTTCAACTCCTCTTCGACGACGCGTTGCTGAACAAGCTTCGAGACTGCCGCATGTATAGAGGTACCGATCATGTGCAATCAGATGTGTGCATGGTGAGTAGAACCCCAACATTCGAGCCGAGCGTTTTGATGCGACAGACACGGTGGATGCATTTCTCCATCCGGCTGGGTTCCACATGTGCAGTTTGCAGTATACAACTATGTCTATGTATGTACATGTAAAGATACATGTGAGCGTATGTGTAAAGTGTCGGAACTGGATGCTCAGTTTGCTGTTATGTATACGACTGCACTTGCCGATGTATGTATGTATGTATGCATGCAAGCATGCATGCATGTATGTATGTATGTATGTATGTATATGCATATGCATGTGGATGTGTATATGTATGTGTCGGCATGTATACACGTATGTATGCACACATGCATGCATGCATGTATGTATGTATGTATGTATGTATGTACGTAGGTGTATACATATACATATACATATACATATACATATACATATACATATACACATACACATACACATACACACATACATATACATATACATATACATATACATATACATATACATATACATATACATATACATATACACATACATACGTACATACGTATATATATATATATATATATATATGTATATATATATATATATATATATATGCAGACACATACCAACATACATACATACATACATACATACATACATACATACATACATACATACATACATACCCGCACACATACATAATATGGAGGTGACTGTATGTATTTCTGTACCGCATGTCAGAACTGGTTTGGTAATCATGGCATGTGTATGTTTGTGTTTGTGTATATGCACATGTCCGCAGCTTGATGGGCAGACGGGCAGGTGCACATCTGCACCCACACAGGTATTTGTATGTCCAGATGTGCATATGTGTGTAGGTATGTAAGTATGTACGTAGAAGTTTATGTATGCAGGTGTGCGCATGCTTTGCACTCATGTATACCTGTATCTGTGCAGGCACGTACAGGCACGCTTACACCTGACCGCCTGCTTGCCTGCCTACCCACCTATCGAGTGACCTACCGATCTACCGACCCACCGACCCACCGACCTACCGGCCGGACCTGCCTACCTGCCACCGACCTTCCTACCTACCGACTTACCTGCCGATCATATTTTGAGGGTGCTCCCTTGTGATGTACGGTTCTTCTGACCAAGGGATGATCGCCCAGCGGCCGCTTTCATCCAGGCAGTTTCGTTCAGGGACCTGCAGACTCTTTCTCCCGAAATCTCCCAGACATTGATTAAGGTACTGTCGGTGGCCGTTCTATGCTTCAGAATCCAGGATGTTAAAAGTTAAACAGCACATCCTCACAGCAGTCGACCATGTACGTGTAGGATTCGATGTAGATTGATTCAGGTCTTTTAGATTTATGGGTTGAGTTTTCATCAAAGACTTGCACATCGTCAGACCAGATCTACACTTCAGTCCTGCACCAGCAACTGCGAAGGATTCATTGCGAGCTTGAAGCTCGGCCTAGATCTAATTCCCAGAGCTGGAAGCCTGCACCTTTGGTTTATCTCTGGAGAGTTCTGCGACCTAATTCGAGCCTCAGCATTAGTACACGTCTTTGTGCCGATCCCATATTTCATCCATAGCTAGCACCTTTCGCGTCATCTCTGCTGC